GATAGTCAGCACAACAGCATTATTCTACTCAAATTATCTTGGATCCTTGTCTGATTTTTCAAAACTGTCTTGAGTAGGAGTGAGTTTAAAAAAAATCTATTTTCTGGTCCAAAATATTTTAATATGAATAATGTGATATCGATTCATTAAATCCTGAAATGGCTTTTTAAATTATAAATGTATTTTTGGCAGACATGTCAGAATCTCAGCTTGAAGCCTAGAAAACTATTTCAACAACCACCAAACGGCTAAAACGGCAAATGATTAACGAGCTGGTAAACTGATTCCACAAAAAGATGTAAACACAAAGCACGACCCGACAGCATGTATGCAGACCTGCTGCCGGGTGCTGAAAGCCGACATCTCACACATTCCCTGACTGCAGGTTCTGTTACTGTCCAACCAAAATTCACTGAACCAGCAGCAAAAGAAGATCAGAACTACATTTGAAAACATCGTCATGACTTCACTCTTACTTTGGCCGTTTTGCTTCCACCACAACAAAATCACACTTCCTGCACAGCACTTCAAGACTGTGTACTTCAAGACCAGTTTACCATCAAAAATCTCAATTTTCTGCATTATTCCCTTGCACCAGTCTACAGTTGTGTACAGCGTTGTTAGCTGCTGTTGTTTTGTTTTTTCCCAAAAATTACCTCTGACAAGATATTTCTGCTGTTCCATATCACAGAAATTTCGGCTTTTACAAATTCTGCCAAATTGCAAAATTTGTATGTGATTCATGGTTTTCTTGTTTTTAATGTACTGCGACTATTTTAATATTTGCAGTAGATCACATGTGAAAATGTCCGCTTGTGCTATGTGCATGCTTTTACACATGAATTAAGCAGAAGGGACTACACTCAGGAAGTTGTTTCTTTGTTTGTTTTTTGTTTTTTTTCCACTAAATGGAGACTTGTAGTTAATAACTAGTTCCAGCAGTGGCTTTTGCTATAAAAAGCCAGGCCAGGAAATTCTCCTTTATATTTTTCTGTGTTTAATCATTAGCTACTTTGACACAAAGGCGTCAGCTGTGAGGCTTGCACTTCTGATGACGTTTCACAGGTGTCAGCTTTGTTTTTATACCTAGATAATTTACACTGAGTTTGTAATTGCAGAGAAATTTTCAAGTAATTTGAAATGAAATATTTTTAATTTACCATTTTTAGAGCATTCTTTGGACAGTACGAATCAAAGATAAATGATTATAATTATAATATTTCTGACTCTAAGTTGAATTGAATGGAATGGAGTCGGGACCTTGCGAATCAGAATAGAATCAGTTGTAGAAGTTGGTGACGATGCCCAGTCCTGGTCTTGAGTCTCAAACAAAGGGTATAAAACACAATCATAGATTCCAGGTCAGAAAAATTAAGCAGATGTAGAAGTACCTACAAACCCTGCACTCCTGAAGGCCAGCAGACTGTGATGGATGTGGTTGCAGAAAGTCCTTTTAGAAGTCTATGAAAAAACAGCTTTCTGACTCCAACTCTTTAAATGCTGCTTCTGAGTTTGTGCACGGGCTCAGACACTCGTCTGGTCATAAATAATAAAGTCTGTTTTTTAAGTCTAGGACACATGTTCCAAAATGGAAGATTATCTGTGGCTTGTGCTCATTGTTCATATTGGGTATAACTGCATTGAATTAGTTTCTTCGTAATTGTAATGACTGTAAATGTGTCTGTGGGGTTCTGGCTTAAAAATACAGACCTTTAAATTTTAAATTTAGGAAAATAAAGTATTAAAATGTCGTTTAAATCTCAATTGCAGGAATTTTTTTTTTTACGACTGGTAATAATGCAAATAAATGAGCCAAGAAGAAGTGGGCAGGAGGTGAACACCTCAAAGTAAACATTAGCCCATAACTAATATCTGGTTGGTTTTAGGAATATTTATGTTGCTGATTGATGATTTTAACTCTTTACGAGCAACAGCGAATGGTTTTAGAGTTTAACCTGTGAATGCCTTTTGTCTCTTGTATGAATGGGTCCATCGCTTTAATGAGGCTCATCACATATGAAAGTGTGTAAATGTGGTTTGTGTTCTGTTTGGCTGTGTTGGTAATCTCCTGCTGCACGGCTGGGAGGACCTGTGTTAGTATGATGATAACTTATCTTTTTGATTATTATATATTTTTTATTTATTTTAATCTGTGGAAATCAGACTGCTCTTCATGTCACTGTCAGACAAATGTTCAGATGCTGTGGGGTTTTCACGTTTATCTAAATGTTAACACTGTAGATCAGTCAGGTTTAAAACCTTTTCCCTCAGAGTGATTGGATTTTACTTCAGATATGGAGAACGTCACAGGCACGCTATGGTTTCTGGATCTCAACAAATCCGATCATCAGATGGCGAGTGTGAGACTCTCTGTGGACTTCCATATGCCCAACTTTTTTTAATATGACCACATGGATTCATTTGCAGAAAAATGGCACTAAAATATGCCAACTACACATTCCCTTCAGTAAAATTACCCCCTACCATAGTAATGAATGGCAGTTTAGTTTGGGGAGTCCATACATATTGGAAATGATGATTGTGAAAATATCTAATGGTCCTGATTTTCCTACAGGCATCCGAACATCCTGCGACTCTATGGCTACTTCCACGATGCCTCTCGTGTGTACCTCATCCTGGAGTTTGCACCCAGGGGAGAGCTGTACAGCGAGCTGCAGCGCTGTGGACATTTTTCCGAGAACATAAGCGCCACGGTAAGAGTGCAGAGTTAAGATCTTTTCGTCACTCTTGTTCTATAATCTAAGGAGCTTCCCTAGTTTTACAGAGTGAAAATAACCTTTTATTTGTAGAGAATCGTGTTTCCAGGATGTTTTACGTTTACTAAAAGCATCTCTTCTGTGATGCATGTTGTATGCTTATTACTTGTGTGCTTAATGTGTTGTTCTAGTACATCATGGAGTTAGCAGATGCCCTCAACTATTGCCACACCAAAAAGGTGATCCACAGGGACATCAAACCAGAGAACCTGTTACTGGGGGCCAATGGGGAGCTCAAGATCGCGGATTTCGGCTGGTCTGTTCACACCCCGTCCTCCAGGTATGTTCATGCAACTTTTTCGCTTTTAATCACGTTTAAGTTGAAGGTGAAACTATGGAAATGATTTAGCCTACACAGGTAAGATATTGTATATGATTAAAAAGAAACAAACATATTTTTTTTTCTCTTTTCTTCAGGAGGTCCACTCTGTGTGGGACACTGGACTACTTGCCTCCAGAGATGATTGAGGGGAAAACTCATGACGAGAAAGTGGACCTGTGGAGTCTCGGGGTCCTTTGCTACGAGTTCCTGGTTGGGAAACCCCCATTTGAAGCAAAAACCCACGAGGAGACCTACCGTAGGATTTCAAGGGTATGACACCACCACAGTATAGAAATGCTCTATGGCTTCTCTCAAAAGTTGAATTTTTATTCCCATTTTCTGTCTTTGACCTCCAGGTGGAGTACTCTTACCCACCACAGGCCACTATCAGTGCTGGAGCTAAAGACTTGGTTGCCAGGCTGCTGAAGCACAACCCTATGCACAGACTGCCCATCCAGGGAGTCCTGTCCCACCCCTGGGTGGTCGAGTACTCGACCAAGAAGCCAACAACCTTAAACAGTGAAGAGCCCGGCCAGTGACTGGTCTCTACGTACGACCGCACGTCTGATGGAGACTGTACAAGATAAACACGAGGGTGTAGCTGATGTATGAAAATCTGCTTCTATCTCTGACTTTAAAACCACTTGGTGGAACAGTATTTTGGTTTGCAAATATCTTGAGCCACTTAGCTGTATTTGTTATCTTTTTTTAAACTTAATGTTTTCTGTCTTACCTGAACTTTCTTTCTGTGGCATTCTGTTGCCTGTAAATATTTTACTGTCTGCAGAATTATGAGAGTTTTACTGAGCTTTTCTAAAATGTTGTTACTTGAAATTAAAAAATAAATTATCATCAAAGAATCTCACTCTGGAATTTGTCCAGTGTGTATTTAACAGTTTTTGTGTTTCAGGCTCAGTTATTTTACTTGGTAACCCGTCTTCACACTGACGTTTGAGTGATGCGCTCTCATTGATTTCATACACCTCCAGCTGTGTCCAGGCTGCACAGGGAGCTGGTTATGTGGACAAGAATTTGTCATTTATGAAAAGTTCCTGTTTCATTTATTTGTGATGTAAGTGTGACTTGTGGGTTTTTTGGAAAGGTAATTGGATTGGTTAGATATTTGTTTTGAGGGAGTGTGTGTGTGAGTCCTAAATAAGTGGAATTGACTTTAATTTCAATAAGTCACAGATTAAAACTGCATGTGCCAAATATGAAAAACATGTTAAAGGTTTGCTGACCTTTCTTGACCAGGATGTTTTGTTCGTTCCTGTTGTGAAATTCACACTTTTATTTCGGATTCTCTGACATAGTCTGTAGAGCTTTTCTACTCAATAAGCAACCAACTTTTTACTACATGCTGCCTTCAGTGTGCCTGCAAGCAATTTGGAATTCAGTTATACTTTTGGCCAAAGACCATCTGACAAGCGTAATGCAACAGCTGGGACTGAATCTGTAGATAATTTGCCTCCTGAGCCACAGCCGTGGATGGCGTGCCTCAGCATGGTTATACAGCTTATTTCAAAGTTGTATTTAATAAAGCATCAAGAACAACTGTGCAGTCTTGTGTTTATAGTAAAAATAATGTCGTTTTGTCCCGGAATGGTCACGAAAGAACTCGTGCTGTTGTGAAAAGATTTTAAGAAATAGAGTCAATAAATCTCTCTGCTTCCAGCTGGTATTTGCAGTTTGTGTCCACTAGGGGGCTCCCCTGCCATGTGTCACTGAGATCATCACGGGACGATCAGACTCATTTTTAGTAACAAAATTCGTTGTTTTCGTTAATATTTTCAACCCATACATTCCGTAAATTCTGGTTCTATCATGTCATGCTCTCTTGGGTGGCTCACTTAAAATACTGATGCGTGATGGAGTTTTGTTTGGTTTCAACGTGTAATAGAAACCAAACTAAGCCTTTTTCATTTTTGTTTTTGTCTGCAGTTAAACCTGTGAAGCATCTCCACCTTTTGAGAGCCATAAATCACATTCAAGCTCGTGAGCTTTGTAAAATCTGTTTTCTGCAGTAACCCCGCCTTTAAATGCGCACTCATTTTGATGGGTTCCGCGCTATAAGGAAAATCCATACCTGACTGACTAGTATGGCGCACTTGGTAAAGCTGAAACTTGACAGCTTGAGAGTAGGCGGGATAAAATCAACAGAGTGGATGAACAGGTCGGCCACGAGGCCCTGATGCGTGCCTGCAGCAGAAAATCTGTCGACATTTTATGTGAACACGCAGGAATGTGAGGCCTGGTGGAAAACGTGCGCGCTGTGGATATCTCTGCAGACTCAGGTCTATGACGGGTGGAGCTGAAACGGTAATCGGATTATGTAGTAGTAGTAGTATGACCACATACCCTCCTCTCTCACTCACTCGCACACACATTATATGGTTATCTTTCTAAGTCACGGGCCTGCGCAGTCTTAACTCTGCGCGTTTAACCTCAGTTTGAATTTAACAAATATGAATGCGACTAACCATCGTTTTCTATCTTTTATTATAGAGAAAAAAAATACATGTTCTGACCGATTCTCGTTTTACATAAAACCACACACATTTTTACAATATAATTTCACTTATTTCTTTATTCTTTAATATTAATTTTCACGATATATGATAACGACTTTGAGATATACATTCCATCTTTTTGAAACCACAATAACACACTACACATACGGTTTTATAACATTTCCACAGGACCCATTGGATTGCACAGAATGAAAAATGTCTGTATGCACATTTTCCTCTTTAACGATCTCTCTCTTTTAGATTTTCAGACACCGAATTTTTTTTTTCCGAGACATGAGATTTTCAAAATTAATTAGAAATAAAAAAACGAACAGGCCGCGTGTGTGTGCGTGCATGTGCGTGTTTTCGTTCTATTTCTTATGTGTGTGTATCATTTCATTTAATACTCCCCGTGTTGCTGAGATCTGTAGGGGTGGACGTTATTGCCGATTGAAAAGTGAATTAAAGTAAATATCGAAGAAAAAAAACAAACCAGGCCTATCAACAAAGCGTTACTGTTACACGAGGATGAACCGAAATTTAAAGGATTATTAAATTTCCACTTCCCAGTTTCAATGTATTTGTGTCTAAAATATCATACATTCAATGCATAGTTTGTTTAGCTGCTGTGTACTCTCTGATATTTTGCATTGCCAGAATAATAAATAATCGGGGAAAGTCAATTTTTGCGTATTTCTCAGGAAACTTCACAATTACTTTTTATCGTCTTTACGCCGTCGTGTGTTTCTATCGGTTATTGCCGTTGTCTTATTTTATCTTTTAGATGCACAGGCGTTCGATTTGGGGTTTAACACCACACTCAAAGCCCGCAGTCAAATTGCGAATCACCTAAAAAAAAAGAAGTGGTGTTGCGTGTGTGCGCGCGCGTGTGTTTTAATCCCTTTAAAACATCTTAAACATCATTAAATCACAACAAGTCCGTCCATCACAAACTCGAGCGTTACATGAAGTGAAGTCTCGTGTGGGGAAGCACCACAAGAGCGACGAAAAGGCGAACTGCCCTTTTTGCAATTTTGTTTTAAGGTCGATATTGTAAACGTTCACTCCACTGGAAAATATGTATATGTACTCTTGTTGGCATATTTATACAACATGTATTGTCCGTAGGCTAAAGTGTGTTGTGGATGCATTAGATTCCCTCACTGCCACCAACTGTGTGTGTGTGTGTGTGTGTGTGTGTGTGTGTAGACTGATGCAAGCACTGTATGAGTGCGAAAATGTCCGCGTGTGCTCTGCGCGCACTTTTACGCATGAATTAAGCAGAAGGGACTGCGCTCGCCAGGAAGTCATGTGTTTTTTAAATTTTATTTTATTTTATTTTATTTTTTTCACTAAATGGAGACTTGCAGTTAACATCTAGTTCCAGCAATAGCTTGCATCTATTCTTGTATGTTATATTTAAAAGCCTCTATGAGCCCCTCCATTGAGTGGATGAAACCAGATATGCTGCATATACCTCCTATTACAAAGATTGCGACATCAAAGAAAACCTGGTGCCATAGCAGCTTTCTCCATAAAAGCTTGAGGTGGAAGAGACTGGGAAGCAGAAAGCAAAGGCCTGCGCCCGTCAGGCTGCCGGTGAGGCCCATGAGGAGGGCGAAATGTGGCACATAGATGGCCATGAGCAGGGTGAACACAACAAGGCTACATCGGAGAGTGAGTCCCCAGGACTTTAGGCGTCCATCGCCTCCGTAGCAATCTGGAAAGTAGGCGCGTCCCGCTTCGTTGAAAAATGTTTTCTCTAATACCTCGACAGCAGCGAAAAACGGCAGCGGATACGACAGCAAAGCTTTGGACACGAGGAAGAGGTTGACGACAGCTCGGATGGTTGGGGGCAGGTTGTCTGTGATGACCTCCTTGGTTTCATCAGCCCAGGTCAGGTAGGCCACCAGGGCGAATAGACCCTTGAGGATGCAGGCAGCGATGTGAGTCCAGTTCATCATGCAGTGAAACTCGCTCGGTTTCTGCATGTTCCCCTCCAGAGACGGCAGGAAGATCTGCGAGGTGTAGCTGAACACAATAATCCCAATGGAGATGGGGAATTTCTTGACATCGATGTAAAACTTCACCTTGTCCCAGGCCCAGTCCCTCGCTCTGGAGAGGCAGTACGCTATAACGAGGACGTTAATGACAAAGTGGGCTAACGTGCAAAGCAAGCTGAACTTGGAGACGGCTTTCAGGTTCTTGAGAAAGGCGCAGGGGAGGAGAGCAGCGGTGGCGATGATGGCCCAGGACTTCTGGGAAATTGGCATGTTGGGGAAGCTGTTGTACATGAGATTACCGCTGACCACCACGTACAGGATGCAAGTCATCACTAGCTCTATGATTTGGGCTACATTCACGATATGGCCACCTAGAGCCGGGAATCTGGGCGCGCAGCAAGCGTTGGCAATGTCCACATAAGAATCCCTCACACGGACGAGCTGTCCGTCTTCGTCCTCCTCGTACAGGCAGGCAATGAGGATTTTCCCCGTGTAGCAGCACACCACAGCGGCGAAAATAATGAGAAAGAGTCCGAGGTATCCTCCGTGCAGGATGGCGTAGGGCAGGCCCAGAACGAACATCCCCTACAAACACAGACAAATAAAGCATCGCTAATATTACGCTGTGCGCTTTAAGTTGTTAAATGAAAAGTATTAATTTAATCATTAATTATTTTCTTATCATTGTATTTTTTATTCGTGTAACTAGATGGTGTTTTAATGTGTGCTTTGAAGCTGCTCTGCCCGACCCTTCAGTGAATCTCACTCCCCTTTTCATGTTGTGGGTTTTCCACTTGGCTTTGAGCGCATCTGCCCGCTTCTGACGTCATCACGAGCTGGAGGAGACACACTCTGACGTCAGGGTGACTGCCGTGACCACAGCCCCGATAAAGCATAAAAAGGCGTCTAGAGGGATTTTTGTCGCATAGCCTCCACACACACGCGCGCACGCGTACACACAGGCTCTCTCGAGTAAATCCTCCACTTTAAAGTGGTGATTTTTTTTCCCCACATGAAAAAATAAAATAAAAAATAAATGCTTTTTCAAAATGTAGCTTTTTGCACACACTGATCTCTGTAATTTGAAATTTCATATTTTTCAGCCGCGTCTTTATGGTTTTAGTCCAAAATGTCACTT